TCGGGCAACAACGAATGTCACCAGCAAACCCGAATGGCCAACATGCTCCATAAAAGAGCTGCAGTCACCCAAGTACAAGAAGTGCACCTCCAAAAACTTTGTCCAGCAATGACCCAAAATGTTGTCAACCCAGAAAATGATAGACAATGCCCAGTTAAAGCCAAAACCAGACAACCATCCAGCAAGAAACCCGCCAGTCCAGAGAATATGCAACCAACCGAAATGAAAAGACATCCAGATGCAAATAAAATGGAACAAAAAAGAGGCCATAACAGCTAGGAGTACGACAACATAAGTTTCTCTTTTATCAGCTTGCCCCATTTCCAATTGTCGAGTTTCAAATAAACCGCTCTAGAGACTTTTTTAGCTAAAGTGATAACACAAACAAAATTTCCATTGTATTTCCTTGTGTTGCGTTCAATACACAAAAAATAGCCAGCAACATTAAAAATCAGCATAATACCAAGCTTAACACCCTTGTGAATCGTCATGCCATCAATAAACTGTAAAGCTTGAGCAATATTGGGTCTTAAAAGGAAGCAATTGAGTTGAGGAATAAGCCTAGTAATAACTTGGAAAGAATAATCACATTCAAACATAAGATGCGCCGTGTTCTCAACATGACCGTGACAAAGAGGGCAGAAAATATTCCCAATATCAATATTTCTAGCACGCAAAGCTTCAGTGGTTTTAAGGCCATTAGAGAGAGCCAGCCAAGTATAAACAGAGTGTCTAAGAGAGTGTTTTTTGTGCCAAACTAGGTGCGACCAGTCAACATCAAATTCAGAAATAAAATATTATTTATAAAAGTCCTTAAAAGAAGCATTCTCATCATTGTCTCAGGTAAGATGTTTGGAACAACCATCAGTAATGGATATAGAATTAATGAAGTCTTTAATATGGTGACTAAGAGAGTCAGGTAAAGACCAAGAGTTTCTAGAGATCTATTTGGCAAGATTGAAGTCAGTATTAACGGAAGTGAAATCAAAATTTGGAAACCTATCCAAGATAGAGTCGTTCAAGCACCAGTGGTCCCAAAGAATAACAATAGAGCTATTAGTCGTAACATTGAACCTGAAATTGCTTTTAAAAAGGCCAGCATTTATGTGAATGCTTTTCCAAAAACCCGAACAGTGATGGGAGCAAGGCTTCCAGGGGGAAGAGTATCTGATTTTTAACCATCTAGTAAGAAGGGAATCAGAGTTGTAAATCCTTAAAATGGTATCACAATTGTAAGCCGATCTAAGAGCCTGTAAAGAGGCAATGCCAAGGCCACCTTTAGAATAAGGCATAGTGGAATTCTTCCAAGAGATAAGGTACAAGTGCTTAGATTGAGAGCCATTATGATATAAGAATTTGGAGCACGCCTTATCAATGGCCTTCAAAATAGTTTTTTGGAATAATGGAACCTCTTAACCAATACGCCACTAAATTGGTAATGGTATATTTGATAAATTGCAATCTACCTGCAAAAAGAAAGAAGCTTTGCTTTCCAACAAGAAAGCAAGTTAGTAATTTTTTCAATAGGGGGTGAGAAGTCGGAAAGATTGGTTCTTCCCAAGGAAATAAGGATACCCAAGTATGAAATTGTGGTGGAGCAGTTGTGAATGTGAAGGGCTAGGGAAATGGAAGAAGAGTGAATGGCAAAAGGGGAAATAAGAAGAGAGCTTTTTTGGAGGTTGAGGTTTAGGCCAGTTAAGCTAGATAAGTGATTCAAAATTCACATAAGGTTCTTACAATTATTGATGTCAGCTTTGCCAAAAACTAATAAATCATTAGCATAAGTGAGGTGAGTTAAATGGAAATTATCCAACTTGAAACCTACAAATCTTCCCATAAGAGAATTGTCTTCTATAAGGCAAGAGAGAGCATCCATGACAAAGCGGAATAGAAACGGGTTGAGAGGGCAACCTTGTCTAAGACCAGAAGAAGAGCTAAAGTAACTTTCAAGCCCCCCATCAATACAAATGGAGAAATTGATGTCACTAACGCAAGCTTTAATCCAGTAGATAAATAAGGAAGGAAGCCCCTTTTGTGCCAACCTGGAAAAGAGGAAGTCCCTAGAAACATTATCAAATGCTTTCTTTATATCAAATTTAGTACAGAAAAATTTATCCTTTTGTGTCTTGGAGATAAACCCAAGGATCTCAGCCGCAAGAATTGGGATATAAGTAGAAATTCTATTAGTAATGAAAGCCGCATGACTATGATGAATGATCTTAGACATATAAGGTTTGAGCCTAGAAGCAAGGATCTTAGTAATAATCTTGTGGAAGACATTATATAGAGAAATGGGCCTGAAGTCCTGAATAGATTCAGCGTGTGTTTTCTTGGGAATGAGAGCAATAGCAATAGCTTTAGCACGTTTAGAGAGATAACACTTATTAAAAAATGATTTAATAGCATGATAAATAGAAAGCCCAGTGTTAGACCAAGTCCTTTTGAAAAACTCAAAGTTAAAGCCATCCGGCCCAGGAGCCGAGGAGGAGCAACCAATTTTTATTGCAGCTAAAATTTCCTCATTAGAGACGGGAAGAACCAAAGAAGCCTTGGCAAAATCAGACAATCGTGATCCAGTTGGTATACCAGCAAGGTTAGAGAGAATTGGCTTGGGAGTATTATAAAGATTCTTGAAGTGTTGAATAATCCCTTGGAAATTAGCACTATGAGTCTGCTCAGTACCACAGATAGAAGAGTTGAGAATACTTCTATTATGCGATTTCCTCATTTGAATCTTGGAAGAAAGGAATTTGAGGTCCTCCTCCCCATTCTTGAGCCCCTTAACTTTGGATCTTTGAATGACCCATTTAGCATGTAAGGAATTGTAAAAGGCAAGCTCTTGATTGATCTTTTTAAGGTGACCACGAAGATCCACATTAAGAGGGTCCAAATCGACAAGAGTTTGGCAGTGCCGTTGAAGGGAAGATAATTCCAAAAACTTAGCCTCAATTTGAGAAGAAGATTCCCAATTTTTTTTCTTGATTTCCTGCTTCGGAACCTTGAGTTTGTGATAGAGGCAATGAATAGGATTTCCTTGAGAAGGAGTAGCAAAAATCGAAATTAGTAAATCCCCAAACTCAGGAATATTGCACCAATAGTTTTTAAACATGAATCTCTTCCTCTTAGTCTTCACCGAATTTGATTTCAATTAGATCTCTAATTATGCATTAATTAAACAAATGTCTTTTCAACAATAATAATAACCAATATAGTAATATAATAGAAAAAGGTATTTCATAGTAAATTATAATAATATATAGTAATATATATATATATCCCAAGCCCGGATGAAAAAAGTTGAGAGAAAATTGTAATAAAATAATTTAGGCCCCCCCTCAAAAAATTTTCTGGCTCCGCCACTGGTGGTAGCGGACGAGAGAAGGTCTGATGATGGTAGCAGCCGGGTGGAGGTCTGGTAATGGTTGGTAGTGATGTTGGTGGCCTGTCAGAGGTCTGGCGAGGGTTGTTTGATGTAGGTCCAGTAGTCGGATGGAAGTTTGACGACCCACATACGAGCACAGGTACTCATATAATGCTCTAGGATATTTTGAGCCTCAAAGTTCTCTCCAACCTCTAACCCAAGGTCCCCCTCAGATAAGGAGTAGGGCCTATTTATCGATTTTCTTATATTTACATACCCTATAAGTATACAAAAATATAGAGCAAATCCAGAGCATACCTTCCGAAAAGAATATGATTATTTTATCTCATCTGAAAAGAAAATGATTATGTTATCTCATCTGAAAGTGAAACCTTTAAAAAAAAATTAAAAATACATATGGAAATGAATTTATCTCATCTGAAAAGAGTGATTATTTTCATTCAAAATTTTCTTCTATTTCTATCATGTTATAAAACTTCTAAACTTCCTTCAGTTAATTATGTCACTAATTAAAATTAGTTACCCATAATCTATAATTATCATTAGATTATATCATAGAAATTTTCTTTAAAGAAATGATTTCATGAATCATGTAAACTTAGCCTGAAATCTGAACATCGGCTCTCGGTTTCATACGCAGTTACGCACGCCTATTTTTCTCCGCACATCTGTGAGCAAATCAAAGTACAACACAAGTCATTATTCAAAGGAAGTAAGTACCAAACTCTAAGAACTTTTAGTAGAAAAATTGTAGCGATTCTCTTCATCTACAAAGAGACGTCAGGAATGACGAATCATGCGTGCCCTATTTTAATATATAATTATCTTAATTTACTCATAATATAATTTTTTTTTGTTATAAGAGCCTTAAATTTATTACATTTATTTGAGATAAATATATAAATGATCTTTATGGAATTGCTGCTACGTTTTATGGGAGAAACAACAAAGAGCGGAGCACCGCAACGCTCTAGATTCAGCACTGCAACACTGTGTAGTGCCACAGTACTGCGGGTTTGAGCGTCGCAACACGGTCAATCAGATCAGGATCAAATGTTTGAACGCCACAACACTTTGAGGCCGATTGGAAATTTTTTTCTCATTTTTTTCAAGGGAGGCGTCCCTTGGTGTTATTAACTTGTTTTTTCTTGTGTTTTGAGTGAGAAAACTGTATGAGAGAGAAGTGAAGCAAGCAGAGAGAGAGATATAGAAGAGAGATATGTACTTATTTCTCCATATTTTATATTGGCTTTCTTCGTTTGATGTGGCTCTTTGGTTTTTTCCTGATTTCAGATTTTCTACGTTAAATTATTGTGTCATTTACTTTCAGCTGCTTTTACTTTCTCGTTTGCTTCTTTGCGTTGTTTTCCTTAAATCCCCAACACAATTTTCTCAAAACCATCACACATTAGCAACTCTAGTTACTAAAATCAGCTTTCCATCATATAAATTTTTAAAAAATAGCCAAAAAAAACATCAAGACTGCTGTTATAATCTGAAAAGCAAAATAATAATAATAATAAAAAAAAACTATCGAAGAGGTCCTAAGATTCTTCTTACTTGAATTCTTCCTCACTTGTAGGTTGGTCGGCTAAAGCGTAAGGAAATTGTTTACCACCAACTCATGCAATTAATTGAAGGTTCGGTGATTAATTCATCGTCAATGATGTAAGGGTAGAGGACGAAGCTCTTCCTATATAAATGACTTTATGTTAAGCAGATGGCAGAAGTAGAAAAAAAAGAGAGTTCATTAATGGCGGTGACGCAAAACGGAGTGAAGGTGGCGACGACGGAGGAGGATCGCCGGAAAGCATTCGGTTTGGCGGCGAGAGACAACTCCGGCGTTCTTTCTCCTTTTCATTTTTCCAGAAGGTAGGAGCTATGTTTTGTACCTGTCTATCTGTCGGAGTAAATATATACAAATTTATTAGTGATTTGAAGAACCATTTAAATTGTTTGATATAATGGATTGACAGGGAAAATGGTGAAGACGATGTTACCATCAAGATACTGTACTGTGGCATTTGCCATTCAGATCTCCACCAGCTGAAGAACGAGTGGAAGAACACCATATACCCTTGTGTTCCAGGGTATTTATTCTACAAATCTGCCATGAAAATTACTCGTTTGAATATTTTTTGATCTGGATGTGTTCTTAGGCTTACTTTTGAGGTGATTCAGGCGTGAAAGCGAGTCAAGCCAACTCGCGAGATAGCTCTAGTTCGACTTGATAAATGACTTATGAGCTAATCATCCTCAAGCTCGGCTCTTAAACTCATGAACTATCTTAGCTCGTTTTAAAAATATTACTATAAAATGCACTTAAAATATATTAAATTTTAAAAGTTCAAGTATAAAACTATTAAAAATATTTAAATTATATATCTATTTTCTTATATCAAGTGATTTTTTATTGTTTATCTTCTAATTTCTCATTTTTTTAATTTTATTATAATAATTACTTGAATAATAATCATTTTTTTTCTTTTATTGTAAATGAGAGCTGGCCTGTGAACATCTTTAACTCGTAGAATTAAGCTCGAGCTTGATTAATTAATCAAGCTAAAGCTAAATGTAACTTAGGCTTCGTTTGAGACTATTTTTTTACTGCTTTCTAAAATAACTTTCTAATACAAAAGAATTTTCAATTAAAAAATTTTGTACTAGAAAGCTACTTTAAAAAATATTAAAAAAATTATCCCAAACAAAACCTTAGATACATCTTGAATCGTTTAAAAACCAAGATGAAAGTAACATATTAAAAATCAATTAAATTTAATATTGCATTAATCTCAGAAGAAATTTGAAAAAAATAAAAATAAAATTCATCAAAACAAAAAATTTGACGAGAATATTAAAAATTGCGTGATCACCTGCAGGCATGAAATTGTTGGCGTCGTCACCGAAGTCGGCAGCAAGGTTGCAATGTTCAAAATTGGGGACAAAGCAGGCGTGGGCTGCTTGGTTGGCTCCTGCCATTCCTGCGAGAGCTGCAACCAAAACGAGGAGAACTATTGCTCCAAATTCGTCCTCACCTACAATTCCGTCTGCGCTGATGGCGCCATCACCTATGGAGGCTATTCTGACAAGATAGTCGTCGACCAGCACTTCGTGGTGAAGCTCCCCGAGAACTTGGCCATGGACAAGGCGGCCCCGCTGCTCTGTGCGGGGATCACCGTCTACAGCCCCATGAAGAACTTGCAGCTCAATGAGCCAGGGAAGCATCTCGGAGTTGTCGGACTGGGCGGCCTCGGCCACGTTGCCGTCAAATTCGGCAAGGCTTTTGGGATGAAGGTCACGGTAATCAGCACTTCTGTAAAGAAGAGAGAAGAAGCCATTGATCGACTTGGAGCTGACGAGTTCCTTGTCAGCAGCGATCCTCTGCAGATGCAGGTTATAATCATTCTTGCAACATAACAGTAACAGCCTAACAGTAGCAGCATCTGAATTCTAGGGGTGTCAATATTGGACCCGATACGAAAACCCGATCCGAATATGATTCAAAAACTTAGGATTTGGGTTGACCCGAATCCGAAGCAGGTTGTGTTCACCGACCCGTTTGCAAAACCGAGGTGGGTTCGGGTTGACCCGGGAATGACCCGCCCGCCCCAGTCTGCCCGCCTGCGGCCGCGCCATTGCGTTCGCGTCGCATCGTGGCATTGCCTCACCAGCCGCGCCATCGCATCGCCTGCCTCTCTGTTGAACATTGCTACCTGCTTGCGGCTGCTGAACGTTGATGTGCTTGCGTACTGTCGCTGCCGAACGCCGGCTGTCACAGTCGAAGCGGGACTGGTAGGGTTGACTCAAATCCGAAGCGGGTCGGGTTCCGATCTGAAAAACCAACCCATATGGAAAAATTATTAGGTCAGGTGACCTGATGTAGCTCTAAGTCCGGTAGCCAATAATATGTCGCCACGTGCTCTTACCCTTTACCGCGCGGCCCGACGACCCGACTCTGACCGGAATCCGGGATTACTATGTTCGCGTATTGCTAGGTATTACTCGATATTGCTTGGCAATAACAAGAAATACCGCCTGTGAAGACCAATACCGAGTAATACCTAAAAGAACTCGGTATTGCTAGGTATTGGTCTTCACATAATGGTATTTTTCATTTTTGTCGAGCAAAATCGACCAATACCTAACAATACGCAAACTCCCGGATCCGTTCCGGGTCGGGTCGTCGGGCCGCGCTGTAAATAGTGAGAACACGTGGCGCTTGTTTACTGTTCACCGGACGTAGAGCTACGTCAGGTTACCGGATCAAATAAAATTTCACCCATATGCAAAAAATGGGTCAGGTTCGGGTTGACCCGATTAGTGCCGGGTCAATTCCGCATTCAACCCGAATCCGATCCGTAACCCGAAATTGACACCTCTATTGAATTCCTTATTTGATTGTTTCTGTGGATGGGTGCAGGCTGCAATGGGAACAATGGATGGAATCATCGATACAGTCTCTGCAAAGCACGATCTCGTGCCATTGATTGCTTTGTTGAAGACGAAGGGGAGGCTAGTTATGATCGGAGTACCAGAGCATCCACTTGAGCTTTCTGTTGGGCCTCTGGTATTTGGTGAGTTAGAACACAATAACTTCTTAAACTATCTTGCTTGAAGGCTTGTAAAGAAGTGCATTAATCTCTACGTAAATGGGTTGGTTGCAGGAGGGAAGACAATAACAGGGAGTCTGATAGGAGGAATTAAGGATACGCAGGAGATGATAGATTTTGCAGGGAAGCACAATATAACTGCGAATATTGAGCTCATCAGTGCGGATTATGTCAATAAGGCCATGGAGAGACTCGCAAAAGCTGATGTAAGATACAGATTTGTCATTGATATCGGCAATACGTTGAATGGTGCTTTTTAGGTCGAGACTTGAGAAGTGAAGAGTATTTCCATCCAAGCATTGGGAAGGAGGGATTGTTTCTTTGTCCTTGGAGTAGTCCTATTTTGGAGCTTGGACAATATGTGGTTGGCTATGAAATGTTGCATCTTGACATCTATTTTGGACAGAAAATGATGCGGAGCATTGTAGCTTAAATCTTTCCTTAGACATATGTTATCTAGTTTGTTACAAACTCGTTATAGGATTCTAGAAGTTTCTAGTTTTCTACATAATTATTATATATAGTATGATGTAAGAAGAGTTGAGATATTGATGAATATTATATGAATTGAAGCCTTTGAGCTTGATTTGTCCTCTTGTTCTTGAAAATCCTTCAAACATCATCTTATTCCAACAATCGAACGATTGTCTCCCCACATCAGAAAAGCATGACTTAAAACACCCAAAATGCATGAGAACATTTGAGACTAACTTGGTAAATGTTTAAACAGGTTAAATTTGAATTGAGTCTACTCATTTGCTGTCGAGTGAGAACTCAATTGCAAATACTAATTAGGTAGTTAAAGGTTTGGTGATTGAGCCAGTGAAGGGGTGGGAGAGCCAGGTGGTGGTGGTGGTGAATATGAGACTATTGAGAGGGGATTTTGATGGACTTGATGGAAGTGTTGGGTAGAGAGAGGGGTTTGCATAGGCCAGCAACACGCCAAAAGATATAAAATGAGAAATTTGAATCATTTTATCTACTCACCAGAATTCAGGCATATTTCAAAACAATTAACTTAAATGTAATATTGTCAAAACTTACGATAACATAATATCAGAATAGGACTTCCGAGTTGGCTAGCTCCAGCCCTCACAACGTCAGAAGTCAATCAATCTGAATGCTCATCCACTTCTATTTCCTCAAGCAACAAGACCGCCATGCCCAGTTCCCTAACCTGCTACCTTGAATAATATGCCTAAACCATAGCAAGCCTCCTATCCTTCCTCTCATATCTTATGATGTTGCCACCACTACAACAGGCTAGGAGGCACCGCCACAGAATGGACAAACAACATCCTTCACCCAGATGAATCCGACAACAACATCTACTGATTCTACTCTGTAGACAACATCCATCCTACCGTATCCAATATCAGCTCCAACATTTTGGCGAGTGGCCTCTGCAAACCACTCTCTCTATAACAGCCTAAACTCTTAACGATTGAGATATTATCTGCTTTAGCTTAAGGGCCTTAAGATTTTGTCTTGTTGATGTAACTGCCCAGGAGGTCACCCATCCCAAGATTTCCCCAGGATGAGCACACTTAACTATGGAGTTTTATTAATAAAATTTTGACTATTATACGAAAAGGAAAAGTGAAGCCCTTCGGCCAAAGCGAACAATATCTCAATAGTTAAGAGTTTGAGCTGTTACAAATGATATCAGAACAATACATCAGCTGGAAAATGGGAATTAAGTATCATACATGACAAAGTGCCACGCCATGGGAGCCACCTCTTGAACCCTGTATGGGACAAAGTGCGACATGGCGGGAGTCATCACTTGAACTTATAGAGGTCTCCTCAAGAATCCTATCTGCCTGGTGCATGATTCTGGGATAAAGATACTAGTGATGATGGATATTATGAAACCCTTTAAGTAAAAAGAAGCTAAACTCTTAAACATCGAGTCGCCTTTTAGTGTAATGATTGAAATTTCATTAAGAAAATATGCAGTTAAGCATGCTCATCCCAGAAAAATCTTGGGATGAGTGACCTTCTGGGTTACACCAACAAGACAAAATTATGAGGCCCTTAAAAAGCGGAAAATACTTCGATACTTAAGAGTTGAATTTATTACACTCTCTACCCACCATAGCCTCTAGGATAATTGATATCCCCCATCAATGGCATTAGGCCCCTACCTTTATTTCCACCTCAATAGTCTAACTTTCACCCCCCTCACTCTCTCCCACCTCCATATCCACCTCGCTCTCTTACACATGTGCAATCATAAGTAATCCCTATCCCTCCTTCAACAGCCCAATCACCAAGTCTTTTGATTACCTCATGAGATCTTTATAACTGCTTCATTAATATTTACAATTGAGAGAAAAAGAAGAAATATAAAATATGACTATCTCATGGCATTGATGCGGTCAAAGTAGAAAATATAGCGAAGCTCCTTAATTGAAAGAAACATGGATAGTTTCAATATCATGCTTTAAGGGCATCTCCAACCGAAAACCCCATTTTCCACTCTAAATGGCGGAAAACTTCAAAATGTCGTAATACACCTCCAATGGAACTCCCTTTCACGCGTTAAAAAACATCTATTGCTTCACGAGCTTCCTACGAAGCTAAAAAAAACAGAGCAAATTTTTGGCGTAGGTGTTTGGCGTCGCACTGTTCACCCCATGGCATTGGCGTATTTTTTGGCAATCCATTGGAGCAAAAAGCCACTCCATACATCCGAATGCAGTTCGGCTGGAGAAGCTCTAAAGGGATGCCACGGTCTATGTTTTGAAATCAACAAGTGCTTGCTATATTAGATTAAAAACATGAAAAGAATGTCTTAGATATCAGGAGACGATCTTCATAATAAATTCCAATTTTTCATCATAAGTAGCCTTATCCTAGCTTTCTGTGGTGAATTTACGGATCTTCAACAAGTGCTTTCTTATAGAGGCCTACATGAGTTGTTAAAAACTATTTAATACTATTTTTAATTGCACAACTTCAACCCAAATTATCTTTCATCAAACTTTTTTTACTTCCTAATTGTTCCACATCAATTTTATTTATCAAAATGTCTACGAACAAACATAATATTGCCACTTTATAGGGCACATCCAAAAAGATTAATAAAATAATCACATGAATAACTACTATAAAAGCTGCAAGGTGATTTATGGTAAGATATTGGCCACACAAGACTATATGAAGAAGAGGGGATGAGGAACAAAGCCCGCACTTTCAAAATTACATATTTCCAGCAAGAGAGTGGGGGCAACTCATTAGAATAAGGAAGAGAACCGATCAAACAAAATTTCTAAACATCTCATGGTAGTTGCAAGTTGAACGGATAATTCTTTGTTTGATGGTACTAACAAATATTAATATAGCTTCTGTTAGCTTTTATTTCGAAGTATAGGATTCAGATTATTCTAAAATAATTTATGGATGTTTGCGGATGCAAAATCATCCCCTCATATAAGTTAGTTTTGAGTGGAATCTAATTATGTTGATTAATTGAATTGTATTGTTGACTTAAACCTCACTTCCGTCAACTAAGGCCGATGAGGATCTCGTTGGGGGGTCACAAGGGGCAGCGCACCCCTTGCTCCGGGGTTCAAGGGCAAAGCCCCCAGGAAATTTTTTCTTGTTGATACAGAGCCGCCACCCTGTAAATTCAAAGCCAAGAAATTGTGAAACTCCTAAAGCATAGAGCACAGTATGGCAATGCTGTTGTTCCAACATAAGAGTGCTGTGAACCCAACGTCGCCGCACTACAGTTCAACGTCACAGTGTTATGAGATAAAGAAGTCAACATCAAGATGTTGCAGGTGCATGCACTGCGGCACTACAAGTCGGTTGAGTCAGCTTTTCCTTCATTTTTAAAGAGTTGTATATTATTTTTTGAAGGGGTTTAACTCGTGAAAAACTCTTGTATTCGCGTCTCGAGAAAATGGATGTGATCGTGAAGAAATTCTTGAGTAACTCTTGTATTAGGGTCGGTTTAGTCAGTTTTTTACTTCATTTTTTAAGAGTTATATTCATTTTTGAATGCTGTAACTCGTGAGAAACTCTTGTATTTGCAAGTAGAAACGGTGGACGTTAGTGTGAAGTGAAGAAGAGTGTTATAGTGAAGATCTATACAATTTCTCCCATTTTTTATAGTGGATTTCTTGGTGTTGTGTGGTTTCATGGTTTTTTTAGATTTCAGTTCTTCCATGTTAAATCCTAATATTCTTTTCTCTTCGCTACATTTTCTCTTTCTTGTCTGTTTCATTCTTGGTTTACTTACTAACAAAATAAAAATCTCTCCTACGATATAAACCTTGAAAACTTAATTAGAAGTCCCTCTTTGTTCTTATAAGTTCAGTAAAAGCCCGATGTAGGACCTAGAAATTCCAAAGATTATAAAAAATTTTCACCAAAGGTTTAAATGATGAAAAACATTCTTATCAAAACAATAAACAATAATATGTACCAATAACACTATGAAAAAGGGTAAAAGAAAAGAAGACGTTGTAAACAATCCGATTAGAGATTCCAAGTATTAGTCTAAAGATGAAAGGTCCTCAACTGAGCAAAAAAAAAATTACAAGAAATTTGTATGCAAAGATGCAAATGAGTAGAAAGCCACTGTAACTCAATCAATGCAACATGGTCCAAAATTGCATTTCAATAAATAATTCTAAAACATAACAACTCTTAAAATTGAAGAACTCCCAATTGCCAACACTAAAGTTGTGTTACTATAAGAAAACTGGATACCTTTGGGAGATGAAGGTTAGTTGCACTCTTGATCCAAATCGTAGAAATTTTGAGAACATTAACTGAAATGCTGCAAAAATTATTATTCCGAAACTATAGATCTAGGACTGTATTGCACGGTATAAATACAGTGAATCTTTCCATAAGGGATTTCGTTCCTCCTCTATTATAACATACAAATTCAAATAACAAAATCTAATTATGTTGACCTTAAATAAGTCACCTAGATAAAACTGGCTTTGGAGGTGAAAGTGATCGAACCTCTGGTGCTGAGCTAGGGAAAAGCACATTAAGCTTGTGCATTAGAACATCAGACTTTGATGGTATTTCGTTCAGTAGAAATTGTTGGACGATAGGCTTTTTGAACCATTCGAGTATTGAATCCCCAGGTGCCCTCAAAACGACCTTGCTCACCTCAAATGGAGATTCAACAGATGCAAGCATCTGTGCTACAACCATCTTGAGCATTGAACCAGTCACAAGCTTTATACGTCGGGGCACGACACCATAGTAGAGCATCCTCTTCCTAAAACGGTGCAGGGTGTGCACGACAGCCACCAAAGCAGCCCCAACTGACAAATTCCGGACATCCAACGACCATGCAATATGTTGATCAAATACAATTGCTTTAGGGAATAACTTGTTCTCATAAGCCACCTTCCAAACACACCTTGCACGGTTCATTTGACCCATAAGCACCAGGTAATTAAGAAGAACATTGACAAAATACCTAGCCGCACTTTCCTCCATCTCATAATCAATTTCTTGAAAGAATTCTCTCACAAAAGATAACACAGGCTTCTTCCTCTGCTCTGTTCCAGTAAAGAGGCCGCACATGAACCAATGCGCCTTGTGCTTTGTCACACTCATTATATCCATTATAGCTCTCTCGTTCTTCTCATCCTGACATCTCACCAAATGGGCAAGAATTGAAGTGTAGAGTATCAAATCAACCTTGGCAGCAGAGTTTACATAGGTTTCAAGAAGTGGACGAGCTGATTCATATAAAGCTGCCTTCATGCAGGACTCAAACAATTGACGGATAATGAAATTGTTAGTCCTGATTCCAGCTGAGCCCATAAAGCGAAGCCATCTCAATGCCAGATCGTTCGATCCCTCCTTGATATATATCATCAGCATATCGCTTGCATTCACATCAACAGCGAAACCACCAGCCTTCATCTCAAGTAGGACCTTCGCAGCCAAATCCAAGAGTTTCTTGGTGGCCAGAACAGTAAGCAGCGAAGTATAAGTGTTCAAACCAGGCCGAAGGCCAGTCTTGATCATGGAATTGTAAAGCCGCATTGCAGGGTCAACCTGTCCTGCGGCAGAGTGCATTTCAATGAGGGAAGCATAGGTGGAGGGAGTAGGGAGAAAACCAGCCTTCTCCATGTCGGCAAAGAGAGTGGCTGCCAGATCAAGTCGACCACATCTTGCCTGCGCTTCAATCATCATCGTATAAAGACCAAAGTTCGGCCTGAAGCCACCGGCCTTCATTTCATCCCAGAGGCCAAGGCCGGCATCGAGCTTTCCAGCCTTCACCAACGACTCGATCATAGAGACATACATTGTAACAGAAGGCTTGTACCCGGAGGCAAGCATCTCACGGTAGAGCCCCACAGCTGCATCCAACCGCCCAGCCTTGCCCATGGAGTCTACCAAAGCAGAATAAATAGGAAAACCAGGCCGGGCAGCGCTACGAGACTTGGAATCCTGGAAGAGGCGGAGGGCGGCATCGAGGCGGCCAGACCGCGCGAGGGCAGGGATCATGAGGTCGTAGGTGGAGGAGTCAAGGGGGCATCCGCTAGCCTCCATGGCTTCGTATATCTCAAATGCCTTATAAGGCAATCCCTTGCTGAGAAACAAGGTTATAAGAGAATTGTAAGTCTGAGTGGTAAATTCATTAAAGCTTAAATCGCGCAGCTTCTTGAAGCAGTGGAAGGACACCTCCATGCGGCCGCCAAGGGCGAGGTACTGAATCGCCCGGTTAAGAGCTGAAGGGAAGGCGGTTTTCCCCTCCGTCATATTGGCATCCGAAACGATCTCGTCAAAGAGGGAGAGAACGGAGTCTATATCGCCAGCAGAATGGAGGCGGTCAAGGATAACGGAGTAGGAGTCGTCGGAAGGGGAAAACCAAGGTTGGCGGCGGGCCCATCGGAGGAGGGAGAGAGATGACTCGGGATCGGAAAGGTGGGCGAGAGCGAGGTGGATGTGGGATGGGGAAGGGGTAAAAGGGAGGCGATCGAGATGAGAGTGTAGGTCAGGGCCCCACCGCCATCGGCGGGCGATCTCAACGATCTTAGCCGCAGCGGCGGGTGGTGAGAGGGGCTTTCGTAGGTCGCCGACCATTACGTGGGAATCAAGGCCGGGCTCGGTGGCACGGAGGCCTCGGCCGGAGCAGATGACGCCGCCGGATTCGTCAAGGTAGAGGATGTCGTCTGTCCATTCAGCACCCGAGCCTTCGCGGCCTCCGCCGGTTGTAGCATCGGAAGAGATAGGGCAGGAGAGAGGTACTGTGTAACTGTTTAGGGCCTGCAATCGGGGAAGGAGGTCGGGGTAGAGGAGACGGCGAGCTTGCTGCTTGAGGGCTCCGAAGCGGACGAGCATTCCGATCGACTGGCCCGTAGCAGTGTAAAGGACTGGAGCAAACTAGAGCCCAAATTGAAAATTATTTAGGTTTTTAATAACTGGCCACTCAATTTAGCTGATATTTTAAGGTTCTTAAAAAATCAAAAGCAAATGAAGTTGAATGAAATATTGTCAAAACGTGAGATTTATAAAAAAAAAAAAGATAAATTCTTAATAATTTATTATTATTATTGTGTGCTACAATAATCTTATTTACCTTGATATCTTATAAAGACCCCACACATATATATAAAATAAATCAAGAGCAACTTATATGAGCTATAAAATTATTTTTGTGAAAAAATTATTTGGCGATTGTAATTAGATGGTAGTGGTTGAACAATGATCCCAGCTTATATTTTTTTTATATATGTTTCTAATATTGAAACCATCAAATTTTTTTTTCTCATAGACTAGGAAATTCAAAAATAAAGGGAAAGCTGATAATCTCGAAGTCCCTACTTCTAGAAAAATTATTAGGTGCGAAGTCCAAACATAGCTCTATGTTCAAACTCCAATAAAATGCTAACAATTGCAGCCCAACGACCAGACCCGATCCACTGGCCTAGAGGTGAAAATTTTTAATCTTGCCATGAAAATTATAAAATCGCGATAAACTAAAAGTCCTGGCATTCAAAATCGTCTTACTTTTCATCATCTTTCCTTTCAGCTTTCAGTTCAGGTGCTCTTCATCTTCGAATAAGGATCGCTCTCTTCTTTCAGGATAAATTTTTACGTTCAGACGCTGAAGTTAGTGTCAGATTTATCTCCAGAGTGACGCTTTATCATTGGATATATTGAAATGTTGAAGCTATTGGTAATGCAAATGATTTATCTAAAATAATTGTTAGGGTTTAAGACATTTGCGTGTCACCTTTTTGCATCTAAATGCAAAGCAGTGTGTTTTTGTACAGAAACTGCATAAAATTTTGGTTATGATGTATTCTTAAATTACCTATATTCAAATGTCCGAGACATGCTTTTGTATAGAAATTGTGTAAAATTTATATCAAATATGCTTTTTGGTTAATAAAAAAACTGTTTATTGTTGTGTACTGCTTTGTATTATTGTGATACGAGCTTATAGTGAATACACAGTGATGTATTTTTTCATTTTAAAGCTTTTCGAGATTGTTCACATATGTGTATTACAAAAATTATGTATAAAATTTGATTTTTTTTCCTGATATCTATTATGTATTTATGTGATTGCTGTGATACAATCATACAGCACTGTATTTTTTCACAGTAGCATGCTAATATCTAGTGTGGATTGTTGTGTATTGCTATAGATTGCTTTGATACAAGCTCATCACAAATACACAATGCTGAATTTATTTAGTTGAAAGTTTTTTGAGCTTGTTCACATATTTGTATTAGGAAAATTATGTGAAAATTTTGATTTTTTCCCCTTTTACACATTATGTATTGTTATGTATTGTTGTGTACAAGCTTTTACATAATTGTTTATTATAAACATTATTATAGAAAACTTGTTAAAATGTCAACCTGTAAATTTTGCAAATGTATGTTCCAAAGACCACTTTTGGTTTTAAAACGTCAACATTTAGAGTTATATGCAACTCTTTCATTAAAACTTTTGGTAAGAATTTAGAGGACAGATGAAAGGAATTACACATATGTTAATTTTTGGAGATCCCTGCATTCCAGCAGAATGTTTTGCTCATATACATGTTGTTGTCATTATGGGATATGACAAAACAATGTTTCATCATCAAGAGGCATGAGCATTCACCGTAGATGACGTAACCCTTATTACATGATTGTCAAACTTGTATCTAAGCTTGTACACAATAATACAGAGCAATATATAGTGAGTAGTAGAAAAAATAAACACATTTCTAATATAATTTTTCTAATTACATTATAAAAAAAATTGAAGAAAACGCCCTAAACCCTTAAAAATTATATATTTACATTAAATAAAAAAGAATCTTAAAATGTTATTTTACATAGTTGTTATACAAAAGCATGCTACTTCACAGTACTTGACATATAAATAATCGAAAAATATGCCATAAACCCTAAAGAATTATATATTAACAGTAAACACAATAAAACTGGGAGGAGTTTAAAATTTATCGATAATAACCCCAATTTATTTCCCATGATTGGTTGTAATAAGTCTTTCTGGACGTTTTGCATATCACATTTCATCTCAACAGAAAATGCAACATCCTCCAAGCTAGTTTCCATCTTCATCCTTTGTTTCTTATTTTTCTTTCTCAGCATGTATCAAAAGGTGATATTTCGCTCGTCAATACCTTAAATATTTGGACACTTTCGTGGGTTTGTTTCTTAAAAACATAAAAAATGAGCATTTGTACCAAGTCGGGTCATCGAGTTGCAAGAAAAATAATATAAATATTTGAAATCCACGTGTTAGCATTTTATTGGAGTCGAGACGAAAAGATATGTCGGAACTCTGCACCTAATAATTTCTCCTACTTTTAAGCAATAATGAAGGCTTTGTTTGGGTAACTTTTTTGCTTCTTTTTAAAATAACTTTTTGGTAAAAAAAAAAAATTTAACAAAAAAGCAAATTTTAAAGCAGTAAAAAACTAGCCCCAAATGAAACTGAAATCACATATCTTCTCTATAAACTCTCTCTCTCTCTCTCTCTCTCTCTCTCTCTCTCTCTCTCTCTCACTCAATCTCTCTTCTCTCTCTCTTCGTTGCTCTATTTTTAATAGCCCATTTTACAAGTAAAATCTATATATAGCCCACAAACAAAATTGGATTCAATAAGAAATATACAATAGAACTTTGTAACAACAAAAACATCATCATCAAGCCTTTATCCCACTATATGGGGTCGGCTACATGAATCCTTTTTCTCCATTATGTCATATTAAAAGTTATATTCTTATTTAAATCTAATAAAAAAATATCATTTTTAATATTTTCTAACTAAGTCTTTTTAGTTCTACATCTACCTTTCTTAACATAAATCAAATCTAATACATCTACTTTCCTAATTGGGTCATCAGAAGGTTGTCGTTTTATGTAACCAAACCATCTAAGGTGACTCTCTCTAATCTTATCTTTCACTGGAGCTACTCCAACATTTTCACGTGTATGCTCATTTCGTATATTGTCTCTAAGAGTAAAGTCACTCATCTACTCGAGCATCATCATCTCTGCAACACTTAACTTAATATTATGTTTATATTTTATTGGCCAACATTTAGCACTGTAAGGCATTGCAGGTCTAGCCAATCTCTTATAGAATTTTCCCTTAAGTTTGAGTTAGACTTTTCTATCATAACAAGCCTGATGCATTTATTCATTCAACCATCCAACTTGAATTCTACTAATAATATTCCATCTATTTCATCATCACTTTGAACAATAAACCCAATATATCTAAAACGTGTACTCTTATTAATGACTTGAGCACTCAAACTCGCAATCCCCCCACAAGAACTATCATTACTAAAATTACATTTTATATATTTAGTTTTAGATCTACTCAAACAAAACATTTAGACTCTAAAGTTGACCTCCATAATTCAAGTTTACCTTCAACTCTCTCTCTCTAGTTTCATCAGCAAAAAGCATATACTAGGGAACAACCTCTTGCAATATCTAGTAATAACATCCATGACTTAAGCAAAAAGATATGGGCTTAAGGCTGATCCTTAATGTAATCCAACTGAAATAAAAAAATAGTTGGTCAAACCACCTTGTGCCTGAACACAAGTAACAGCTCCTGCATACATATCCTTAACAACTTGAATATAAGCATGATTAACCAACCCCTTTCTTTTCTAGAACAAAAATTGAAAGAGATTAATGTAAGAAACATGACAAATATTAGTCTTTTTTCTTTTCGGACATTTGAGCCATTAAGGTAAATTCACACAACATTACATACGCAAACTTCAAACCCAAAACTTTTTGATTGATAGTCAAAGCCACCAACCAACAAACGAAGGTGAGCTGCGTGAATTCAAGGCTACTTCTATGCCCATATAGCTAAAAGTGACATGGAAGCAGAGCCAGAGAGAAGGGCTAGGTGAGCTCCAAGTTGAAGCTTCATATTACTCTGCATTCTAGGATTTGTGAAATCTGCAGCCAATAGATCTACAAGTGACATGTATATCAAAATCCCAGCTGAAGCAGCATCAAAGACCCCTTCAATAATAAGGGCCGTCGAGCTATTTGCATTGTAGCTTGAAGAAATAGCAATGCCCAGTGCAATTCCAAACGGAGCTGTGAGGGAGAAGAAGATGGCCATTATCACTGTTGCTCGGCCTCTGAAGTTTGCCTGCATTGTTAATAATAGCAAAACAGTTGCCATAATAATCAAATCAAAGCTTGAAGAAGCTGTGGAAGTTTCTCTCTGATAATTTGCAGGTAAATTAAGATCTGTTAGAAGGTAACCTGAACTATGCAGCCACCAAGTCCAACGCCTTCAAAAAATTGATGAAAACTCAAGGCTCCAACCAATGGCTTTATTGTTTTGGCACTCTCAGATGTCCCAAGGGAAACTCCAATAATTACCGAATGAACCACGATTCCCAATTCTAACACCTGCATATATAAATAAAAAGTTTTCAGGTATAAGCTTAGTTAGCAAATTGTTCAAATTTGATGATAGGAGAGCAGATAATGTGTCAAAACAAAAGCTTTTTTTTTGTCAAAAACGACAACAAAAGAATTATCTTAGGCTTCATTTGGAAAAGAGACGGTTATTTTATTGCTTGGGTTATTGACCAAGAGATTTTGAGTTCGAAGCTTATATATATGATATGTGTGTGAGTTAGCTCAAATATTCAAAATAATAATAATGATTTATGAATTTTGGGTGTTTTTTATTTATCTACCATATATTGAAGTATATCATTTCTCTCTTTTTATTTTTTTAGGAGCATGATTTACATACATACCATTTTATGTATTATATAGCTACATTTAAATATTTATATTTTTTATATCATTTTACTTATATAAATCATAGTAAAAATATAAAAATACATGAGTTTTCCTAAAATAATTTAATATTAATGATATACATCTTAGATTTAAA